CCTCCCTCCCCCCCCCCCCTTCCCCCCACCCCCCCCGCTCTCTCCGCGCTAGTTAATCGCATTGCTGTAGCACCGGCTGACCTCCCTCCCTCTCCCTCTTTTTTTCTTTTTTCTTTTTTTTTCATTTTTTTTTTGTTCTTCATCTTCAAAGTATGTGCCATTCCTGAACGAGTTTCCCCGCCGGCTCATCCCGGGGCTTCCCGGCTCCGCATGCCCCACCTGTAAGTGGCGGGGGCGACTTTCTCTCCCCTATCCCTCTCCCCCTCCCCGTCTTTCTTCCCCCCTTCTCCCCCCGCCTTTAAAAACACTATTTTTTAAAACTTTCTCCATCTTCCTGTGTCTTCAGCTCGAGCAAAACTCTCTCCCTCCATTCCTTGTGGAGAGGAAGGCTCAGCAGCTGGGATTTGCCATCACCAGCCTAAAAATGGTGACCAAACTTTTTCCTTTCCCTCTCCTCTTCCTCGTCCTCTCCCCATTGAAGAAATAAAAAAAATAAAAATCAAGTTGTGTTTTAATTTAGGTTACGGATGTTTCTGTGTTTCTTTTTGTCTTCCTTTCTCTTCCTCCTCCCTTCCTCCCCTTTCTTTCCTTCCACTTCATTGGCTGGGATGATCTTTCCCTGTTGCTTCTGATGTTTCTTTCTTTTTCTCAGTGTGTGCCTGCCTACCTGGACTAGGGGGAAGATAAGGTAATTTTGAAGGGCTTGAGGAAGTGGCTTACCTGTTCTGAAAACTTTTTTGCTTTTTTTTTTTTGCTTTTTTTTTTGCTTTTTTTTTGAGATTTATTTTTAAGAGTTGTGAAAATCAGTAATTTAAGAGAGTTTGGTAGTAATGAGGCAGGTTGAAATTTAAGTGTTATGTGCTGAATGCCTTGGGAATTTGATCTGCTTTATACTGAAGAAGAACACAGAGAAAAGTATTTATTTATTGGGGGAGAGTCGGGGAAGGGGGGAAGGAAAGAGGGTTAAGGGAGGGGGAGGGAAGTGGTTTTGGAGACAAGAAGTGAAGCTGCCTGTTTTCCAGTAAGTAATGGAGAAATTCCAGGAGCCAGGGCTAAATATACTTGGCGATCAATACAGAAATGGCTCATTGTGAATAATTTAGCTGCCTGGTGCAGTGAGAGTTTTGAAACTAAAGGCAAAAAAGAGGCCATGGAGGGAGAGAGGAAATAAAATTTTCCTCTGGTCATGTCAGATTTTTAACTTTTCCACTTAAAAGAACATGGTTATTATTATTGATCTCTCCTCTTTTTTTCCCCCCCCACAATATATATCAAATGATAGCTAGGGGGTGTCATTCTATACAGTTACTTGGGTTTCGGGAAAGTAATAGCTTGTTCTGTGTCAGCAAAGTGCTTCCAGAAACTTTAAGATTGCTTCACACCACAAAATGTGTGATCTGGGAGTATGAAGTGTGGTGTTTGGCCCTGTGCTGTGGCAAATAAATAGGGTTAGAGTGAACAGGTGTGTGTACAGGTGTGTGTCTCACAGGTGTGAGACAAAGCTGGAACAACTCTGTCCAAGGGGTATGGACATGGGAGGGTTTATTTTGTTTAGACCAGGAGGCAGTCTCTTGTAGTGTGTGTGAAAAGAGCAATTGTTAGTAGTATCCATATCTTCAAAGTCTGTTCTGGCTGCAGATAGAGCAGATAATTGATAAAGCATTACCATCCCAGCTTGAACAAACAAGTGGAAAGTCGGGGAAAAACTCTCAGATCAGGCAAAGATGTGAGGGCGGCACAGACAGAAGTATGGTCAGACCAGGATGATCCAGGTGCCACCTGGCCAGGAGGCAGCTGCATGTCTACTCACATAATTTACAGGAAGAGTTCAGTGATTTGCAAACGAGCACATGCAGTGCACTTGTGTGTTTCTCTAGACAGTAGTTGCAACAGCAATAAAATGGGCAACTACTTAGGGCTTTAAGTAAGTTTAATCATTTAATGGTTGATACTGACAGGCGGCTCTGAGGGTGTACTTTTCTGCCTTGCAGCACTGCACTTTGACTATGGAAGCAGAGGCTGTTGATGGATATATTACATGTAAGTAGTCATTTTGTTTGATTATTCTGAATTACTTTTCTTTTCCTACTCTCCTTTGTATAATGCAGACACCTGGAAGTTTAGCTTCCTTGTGTACAGTGTCTGCATTGACACTGAATTAGTAGCATTTAAATATAAACTCTCTGTACAGCTGAGAAATGCATGGGGATGGGTGCATGGGTGAGTATCTTTAGGTTTAAATATTTGCTGAGGGTGAATGAACTTTGCAAATAAGAGAGAGTTCATCTCCAGAAATTCAGACTGCAGCCAAAAACTTTTTGTGCCTTTCTCTATGCATTTCTCTTGTTTTCTATGTGGGGGGGGTTGTGTAAGTGCTTTGTTTAACTGTCAGCTAACCCACAGCTTTGGGGGGAAGGTCTGTATGATGAATTACTATTCCAGTCTTTCCCTGCCCAGCCTGGATTCTCCCTGTCTGCTAATGGAAAAGTAATCCTAACTTACTTAGAACCAGGCAGCTGGGACAAGGTTTGCCACAGGAGTGTGTGTAAAAGAATGGTGACAGTAGCTTTGAGGGGGCTCTTAAAATCAGCCAAGTGTTTACTTGGGGGCACTGAGAGTCAAGATTTGACAGGCTCTGCAAGACCCCACCGGTAAAGGAGGGAAGGACAGGGGCGAGGGGAGCAAGCGGGTTGTGGTTTTTAATCTTTGTGTATCTCTGCTGAAGAGGGGGATAACAACTTACAGGGGACCTGTGTTGTGCCCGCAGGTGACAATGACTATTCGCCTGAAAGGGAGCACTGCGGCATGGCCATCGACCTCACCTCCAGCACTCCCAATGGGCAGCACACCTCCCCCTGTCACATGGCAGGCAGTAAGTCTCCTCTTAAGCCTGTTTCTCTCTAGCTGAGGGGTTGGGTTGTTCTGGTCCTCCTGGTCCTTGGTTTGATTACCAGGTCTTAGCCACTGCTATTGGCATTGCTAATAACAGAGGAGGACAGGGGAGATTTTCTTTTCTTTTGGTTCTTGTTTGTGCTGGTGTCTCATCTAAACATGAACGGGATTACTAGTCTGAGCTATCCCAAGGTGGCATTTGAGAGCTGGTCCTTACCTGCTCCAGGTAGGAAAACGCTAGGCTTGACATGTGCTGCTTTTGTTTCCTCAGGTTCTGAAATCCAAATAGAAATTGTAGTTATTATTACTATTACTGCTACTATTACTTACTTTGCTTCCCGAAACAGCTTGAAGTAGCTTTATTTGAAAACAAACAAATTTTATTTACAAAACTCTAATTGATTATAACAGACTGAAAGGAGTTCGGTTTAGAATGTCGGGTAGAAACTGAGAGTTTTGAGAGTTTTGCACAGTGAGAATGTCAAGAGCTGATAATATTTGTAGAATTATTCTTCTGTTATATATGGGAGGTAGATAAATGTAGCTTGTGCAATTTCATAAAAGCAACAATCTTAATTTTCTGTGTGTGAATGCCCTACCTTGTTTAAGTGTTGGTTACAGTGTTACATCAAGATATTTACCTTAATGTAACCTCTACACTTATAGTCCAAAATAAAATGTAACATGCTTTGCTTCCAACATACTTACAGAGTGTTCCTCTCTATGTGATACTAATTTTCTTTCTAGTTTGTGTGTACTACAGATAGATATTTATCTATTTAAACCGAGGGTTAAATAGATAAATATAGTATAGTTCAGTGCCCTACTGAAAACTGTGTAAGAGAGCTTCTGGAGTTGCTTGTTTAAAAATGCACAGAGTATTGACTTCAGAGTCTTTCTGAGAAAAAGATGTTACTTTCCTTTAAGAATTCTTTCCTCTTGCAAATTACTGGTAAAGCGCAGTTTTATGAGCCTTTAAACTGACGGTTATTATGAAGCTCTCTCAATTATATACATGTTGCTGGAGAATATGATTTCTAATACTGTGGACTGAACTTTATATGACAACCACCCATAATTCAGCATCTTTAGACAATTCCAATTGTGCTGCACTGGGGTTCTGATATACTTTATTATGTTGTAAAAGTTTTACTACTCACTTTCTTCATTTTCTTTGTTTCCTTTTTATTAATGGGAAGACTTCATTGGAAGGGAAAAAAGTCTCTGTGTTTTAAATCTTCTTTATAATCTAGACTGAAAACCAAAGTCAAATTAGGAATAAAAAGATCTTGAATGAAGTAATGCAAAAGGCTTTAACACACTCAGTATTTTCATGTTCATTGTGTTAACATTTTCAATGGTTTTTAAGCTTCATTACTTCTTTGCAACATATACGTATCTGCAGCCTTGGTGTTTTTTTAGAGGTGTTTTTGGTCTCTCACAGGTATCTCAAATGCTTTTATCATTGCTTCTCTGTGTTAAAGATGTGCTGCTGTTGAAAAATTAAGGGATCTGCCTGGGTTTCCCAAGCCAAACAAAACTCAAGCTTCTTAAATTTATTGTAATTTATTTACTCTTTGCAGGCTTAGGATTGTTTTGCAGAGAAGGCAGCTTGTGCTGCCTTAAACATGGAAGATATTGATCAGAGGTTGTCGGCTTTTGTGGCAGCTGTTACATTGGTTCATTTAAGGTTTTTGGCCAAATCTTGAATCTAGCATGTGTAGGCTAAATCACCAAGCTGGGCTCTAAAGCTTTCCACCTGCTTTGTGGGGCACAGGAAATCCATTTAAAGGTTTGGTAACCGAGGGGCCTGCACTTCTCTTTTAAAACTCTTTTGGTTTGTTTTTTTTTTTTTGTATTTTAAAACGAAAGATGGAGGTGGAATAGCTGTTTGAAATATTTTGTATTAATTTAGTAGTTCCCAGTAGATTGACCCATCATCCATTGTTTTAAGTAGAGGCAGTGGCTGTGTTCTGTTTCAGATTGGTTTGATTTCCAGCGGGTTGCTGGAGATTAATTGATGTTGGCTGCCATTACAGCAAAGCCCAGGGCATGTTATCCTGGCTAGGACTTGGCAATGGAGGAGGTGATACAGGGAGCAGACCCCAAATATTTCACTCCCGGGTTGGTTGCCAGTCATGTGCCAGAAGCACATGGCCCTCTTTGGCTGTGTGCTCTGGATGTGCACCTGCAAGGTAGAGATCGAAGTTTTGACCTTTGTTCTTCTTGCATTCCATTGAATTATTTTGAACCACAGCTCTTAATTTAGTTGGAATTTGTGTCTGGCTCAGAAGAGAAACACCAAAAGAAGGAAATTTCTTGGATCTGTGCTGAAATGACTGAGTAGTGCTCTCCCAGCAACAGCAAAATTATGTGCTGGGTAAAGAGTTTTCTATGTTCATTAGCCCCTGGCAATCTGTGTTAGTAGTTCTTTCTGGATTACTGATGTTTTCAGGTTCTATTCCAAAAGGGTTTGGGTCGAATATTTTGTCTACTGCACCCTTTAACCTATTACCATTTTCAAGTATCTAGATGGTATTTGTAGGTTATGGATGGGGATGACACTCAATTTTCCTTGTGACTGAGATGATCCTGAAAGATGAATCACACTAAATCACCTGTCATAGCTAACTGATGATCTTACATATACCTGCCTTTAGCAGAACACTGCATGTGTGTTGGCAGATGCTCTGTTCTAAAATACTTTACTGTAGTTTTATGTAAGCAAAGATTTAAAATACGTGTAAATAGTCAAACCAAAGAGGTTGATAGATCATCTCACTTTTCTTTACAGCAAAAGATGAATTAGTGTTATACCTGCTGAGTACAGATGATTTATTTACATAGCCCCAAATCTGGAAGTCCAGATTTTCTTTTGATCTTCCATAGGAAAACTCATACAAAGTCTGACACCCAGAGCTGGGTGTCACAGGCTTGCTCAATTAACTTTGTGTTGGTGTTAGAGAGTTCCCTGCATGGCCCTAAGCCCCCCCATAGACCCCACTGAGTTCAAGGGAGTCCCTCTTGTTCCCGTCCGTGAATGCTGAACTGGGCTATAAGTGATCAGAAACCTCCGAATAGGAACTGGCATGCTAATTAAAGGCTAATGGGGAATCCTTATAAAAGAGTCTTTAAAAAGGAATAATTCCCAGTCACCTCCCCATAATACCACACTGAGTTCTTGCTACAGTTATTAGAGATTTTTTTTTTTCCTGTAGGTTAAAATAGACTTAGAGGAATGTCTGCTTTAGAAACTGCAGGGGCACAGTTGTTCAATTAGTTGACTCAATCATTGCTTTGTATAGGATGAAGGACACTTCTCTAAGATCACTGGCCTAGTATCATAGGGAAAATAGTAGCAGCAGCTATTAACATCTGACAGTCAGCGACAAAGGCAATTTCCCCTTAAATTAGAGGCTTGACAGTGGGTGTCCCAGTTAACTTTCTTATCTTTGCTTTCAGAGACAAAAGGAGCCCTTAAACAAAACAGAGTCAGAACAATCATAAATATCAAACCCAACATCTGATGTTTGAAACCGATTAAAATTGTGGTATGCTTTCAGGAGGTGTTTATAGTAGCTTGAAGTGTTAGTAAGTTATGAGAATTTATTCATTAAGAGAGTAAGCCATGTCGGCTGACTCTGCTGCTGAAAATAATGAGGCGATTGCGTTTTCTCCGTGGTGGGGAATGATCGCGCTGTCTGACGAGATCACTAATTGGGACAGCAGCACTAAGTGGGAATGATTTCAGCACTGGTGTTTAAAGAGAACATGGGCACGGTTTTATTATAATGTAGCCAATACTATATTCCAAGTGATCAGGGTGAACTATCAGTTGCACTTTTTTTTGTGGCCCCAAATCTTTCCCGATCACTTTCATTTTTCAAGCCTGAATTGTCATACAACTCCTGTTTTGTCACAGTTGTGTTGTCCTGAGCAGTGAGTTACTTGTACCACAGCTGTTTTGGCACATCTGTAGGGATAATGAAATGTAATTTTGGAGCCTGACTGTTGGAATGAAACCACATAAAGTTAAAAGTTGCTCCACGCCTCAGCTCCATGGCAAACAAGCCTTGTTACCACCAGAATTTACTCCCAGGCACGTGCGGCTGAACCTTGCTCTGGGATTCTTTCCTGGCTCAGTATGTGTTGTGGGCTTTTTTGTAGGGTTAGGTGATGGAGGCTTTCCTTTAGGGAGGGTAGTTGAAGATGGCTGGGCTGGGCTGCAGAGGGGGACTGAATTAGTGTTTTGAGGCAGTCACCCCCCTGATGTGTGTGAGTACACTGGGGTATGAAGAATTCTGGAAGTCAAACTGCTGTGCTCTGAACTGGGGATTCAGATCTCCTTTTCTTCCAAATATGTTGGAAAGTACTAAAAACTTGGACCTGATCACCTCAGGACGCTGAGGAATCTTCTGTTCTTAGCAGCCTTTAAGGAGTATGGTAAGCAGCATTTATTGGTCTGGGTATCTCCTGCCTCAGTGCAGGGAGGTGGACTTTTGACAATCACTTGAGTTATCCTCCAGTCCTTTGTGTCTGACTTTGCAGTCTTGACACTTTGATTTTTTTGGAGCTCAGCTATGGAATTGACAATGATGCCCAATACAGACGTACCTGTGGTTTGGCATGTTGAATGAGGGTGAGGATGGACTTTGCCAAGATGAGCTCAGACATGAGGGAACATGGCAGGGAACTGTAAGAAGTGAGCTCCTTTGACACAAGAGCATGGTCTTTTATCCTCAGACTTCCTGAGAATTGCCAGGGCAGTAGTAGTTATCAAAGTTTTAGCCAATGCATTTAGCTTTCTTGGACTTTGAGAAGAAAAAATATTAAATGGAAAGGTGATTATCAGGAATTTAGCAGAAATAGAGGGAGTTTTCCACACCTAAGAAACCAAAGCTCTGCAAAGTAGTGTCAGACTGTTTTTCTTGAAAAAAACCTGCTACCCAAACAGAGGAAAGGGTTAACTGGAAATAAAGC